GCGGGAATAATGAACTTGGTTCTTTGCCAAACAAATGGCACTCTGACTGTCATAGTACACCTCAACGTGCTTCTAAACAATACCTAAGTTCTCAATCAACCCGTGTAGCCAAATAGCTTCCTTAAAGGCTTCCGTCACTGCCATGTACTCTGCCTCTGTAGTAGGCAAAGCCACCGTTGACTAAAGTGTTAACCTCCAACTCATCGACCCTTTAACAAGTGTAAATACATACCTTGTTGTTGATCGACGTTTGTCCAAGTCACCAGCATAATCTGAGTCCACATATCCAACCAGATTCTGTCCGAGTCGGTTATCTCTCTCGAACTTCAATCCCAGATTAACCGTGCCATGTATGTACCTTAGGATCCATTTCACTGCCTGCCAGTGATCTTTTCCTGGATCATTTATATACCTGCTTACCATAGTTACAGCATGCGAGATGTCAGGCCTTGTACAAACCATAGCATATATTAATGCACCAACTGCATTTGCATATGGAACCTGTGCCATATGCTTTCATTCTTCTTCTGTGCGTGGAGACATTGAAGCACTGAGCTTGAAATGAGGGGCCAATGGTGTACTCACAGCTTTTGTTTTCCTATTTATGCCAAATCTGGCTAACACCTTTTTTAGATACTGGGTTTGTGTCAGACAAACCGTGCCCTTCTTCCTGTCTCTCTTGATCTCCATGCCAAGAATTTTCTTTGCTTCTCCCAAATCCTTCATTTCAAAATCTCTTGCCAACTGTGTTTTGAGTTTGTCAATCTCCACCTTGCTCTTAGATGCAATTAACATATCATCTACATATAAGAGCAAATAGATGAAGGAACCATCTGGAAGCTTACAGAAATATACACAATGATCAAATTGACTTCTTGTGTATTCTTTCTCTATCATGAACCGATCACATCGCTTGTACCACTGTCTTGGGGATTGCTTCAACCCGTACAATGATTTGTTCAGCTTACAGGCCCAATTCTCTTTTCCAGCAACTTTGAAACCATCTGACTGGGACATGTATATCTCCTCTTCAAGATCTCCATGTAAAAAAGTAGTTTTGACATCAAGTTGGGCGAGCTCGAGATCAAACTGTGCAATCAAAGCTAACAAGATACGAATAGACGTGTGCTTCACAACAGGTGAGAATACCTCATTGTAGTCTATTCCTTCCTTCTGAGCATAGCCTTTAGCTACCAATCTAGCTTTGAATCTGATGTTGTCTTTGCTTGGGATGCCTTCTTTCTTGGTGTAAACCCACTTACACCCAATTGCTTTCTTGCCTTTTAGAAGTTGCACCAACTCCCAAGTCTAGTTCTTGTGAAGTGATCCGATCTCTTCATCCATAGCCTCCTTCCAATTGACACTTTTTGCATGCCCAGGCTTCTTTGAAAGTGCAAGGAACATTGTCTTCAATGATTGGAAGTGCATAGGCTACCATATCGGTCATCCAACTGGGTTGCTTAGTAACCCTTTTTCCTTTTCTAATTGCAATGGGTTCTGACTGTTGTGGGGCCTCTGGATCTTCATTTTCATCTGAACTCTCTTCAGAGTCTTCTTCAAAGCTGTCAACTAAAACTTCTTTAGGATTGTTGTCTGTCTGAGCAGTTTTTGCTAGAGTCTCAAACTCCACCTGCACAGACTTCTTCAATGCTTCATCATTTTCTTGAGGATTTGGTTGCTTCAGCATTGTAGACTCATCGAAGATAACGTCTCTTCTAGTGACAACTTTCTTTGATTCAGGGCACCAGAGTCTGTATCCCTTGACACCATCACTGAAGCCCCAGAAAATGGCTTTCTTGGCTCTTGAATCCAACTTAGATTTTGTAACATAAAAATAAGCTGGACATCCAAAGATACGTAACTAATCATAATTAGTAGCTGGCACTCCTAACCATACCTCCATGGGAGTCTTGCCATCTAGTGCTGCAGTAGGTAGTCTGTTGACAAGATGACGAGCATAGTTCAATGCCTCGCCCTAAAATGCCTTGTTCAATCTTGAATGTGACAGCATACACCGGACTTTCTCCACCAAAGTGTGGTTCATGCATTCTGCAACTCCATTTTGCTGCGGTGTTCCAGGAACTATGAAATGTCTCACTATCCCTGCATTCTGGCAAACCTCTAAGAAGGGATCTGATGTGTATTCCCCACCATTTTCAGATCTGAGCTTCTTGATCTTTCTACCTGTCTGGGTCTCAATCATTTTCTTCCACATAAGAAAGATGTCTAAGACTTCATCTTTGTGCTTCATTGTGTAAACCCAAACTCTTCTTGAGAAATCATCAATGAACGACACAAAGTAGTGTTTACCTCCCAACGAAGCACTCTTGGAAGGACCCCATACGTCGGTGTGAACGTAGTCTAGAATCCCTTTGGTACAATGAATAGCAGTACCAAACTTGATTCTTGTTTGCTTGCCCAGTACACAATGCTCGTAGAACTCAAGCTTCCCTGTTTTGGTGCCTTTCAATAGGCCTTGCTTTACCAATCCTTGTAAAGCCTTCTCACCGGCATGCCCTAGGCGCATGTGCCAAAGTTTGGAAGTGTCTGATGCATCATCTTCTGTGCTGGTGGAGACAGCCACTCTCCCTGTGACTGTAGAGCCATCTAGGAAATATAAATTTCCTTGTCGAGTACCCTTCATTACAACAAATGCTCCTCGAACAACTTTGAGGACTCCACCTTCCATAGTTACTCTGTAACCTTTGGAGTCTAAAACTCCTACTGAGATGAGATTCTTTGTCAGATCTGGTACATACCGAACATTTTCAAGAATTCTGATTGTTCCATCATGTATTTTCAGTCGAATTGTTCCAATCCCCTTTGTCTAGCAAGCTTGGTCGTTGCCCATCAGCATAACTCCTCCATCGAACTCTCATAAGCTCGAGAACCGCTGCTTGTTAGGACACATGTGGTAAGAACATCTGAAATCTATAATCCATTCATCAGACTGGCCATATAATGAAACTGTAAAGGCTGATCCTTCACCATTATCTCCATCTCGTGCAACGTTCACCTTTTCTTCTTTCTTGCCTTTATTGGAACAATCTTTTGCCCAATGCCCCTTCTGGCGACAAGCAGCACACTCATTTTTTGCAAGACGTCTTCTATCCGATAATTTCCCTCTGGATTTTGAGCGAGACTTTCCTCGCCCGTATATCTCCTGTTATTTGTTCTACCTCTGACTGTCAATGCCTCGGATGCTGAGTCCTTGTTTGCTTATTTATCTTTCCTTCTGAACTCATTATTTACCAAGGCGTTTGCAACATCAATATACTTGATCTTTTCTTTACCGTACAGTAAAGTGGTAGTGAGATGATCATATGAGTCAGACAACGAATTCAACAATAACAGTGCTTTATCTTCATCACCAATATGATCATCCAAGTTTTTCAGATCGGCGAGAATTTTATTGAAATTGTTTAGATGTTTGTTCATCGAAATACCTTTCTTGTAGTCGAAACGAAACAACCTCTTCTTCAAGTAGAGCTGGTTCTCAATGCTCTTTGTCATGAACTTATCTTCCAGCGCCTTCCAAAGCTCCTTCGCAATATCATATTCTATGAAGGCATACTTCTCCTCTTTTGCAAGGCAAAGTCAGATGGAACTGCAGGCCAGGAGATTCACTTTCTCCCATTCTATCCCGTCCAGGTCATCTTGTTTGTCTCCCAAAGTGAAGTGCACGTTCATCTAGACAAGCATATCTTTAACTTCACATCTCCACCTGCCGAAGTTGCTACTTCATATCTTTAACTTCACATCTCCACGCGTGGGATTCTGGTTCGAAGTTGACTTTACGCGCCAAACTTTGACCGACGCGTGTGGGCCACCCCGACCTCCGTTTTGTCTGTTCTTTGCTGTTCTGGACCCCTCTCCTCAAGGGCTTCCTTCTGGTATGCTCAAAAGTGGATTTTGAGCACTTCAAAATCTGGGCACTTTCGGAAAAAATTCAATTTTTCACCACCCGAGCTCTGATACCAATTGTTGTGGATCGGGGGCACACTAGGAAACACACACAAGCAATAACACAAGAGATTTAACGTGGTTCGGCAAGTCGCCTACGTCCACGGGCAGCAGATTTCACTATATGGAGAAATGGAAGAATTACAATTCACTCTCTCTCTATATTCACTCTTAAACTCACCACACTTCCCTTTGCTCTCTCTACCTCTATTTATACACACCAATGGAAGAGAGCTGGCTGGCCTTGCACATGGCCAGCTGGTCAGTCAAAGGTGGATCGTCTTCCTTTGCGGCTTGTCGGTTGGCAGCTGCAATCAAGGACATTATGTGATGCTTTCACAATGAAGAGAATCACCCCTTTCACATGGGGTGATATCAACACTTTGTGCAGAGCTATCGTGATGGGAGTTGGATTAGGACTACAAATCATCTTTCACAAATACCCCTTCTATTAGAGTCAGAGGATGTAAAAGATGTTAATCAAATTCTATCCGTTCTATTTATGTCAGTCTCTACCAATTTCAATGTGTTTATTAAGCAAGTTGTTGAAGCCCAAGGGAAGGATGGGCATGTTCCTTCAAGCAAAAGGAAGAGGAAAAGGCTTACTACCTAGGTGTCATTTATCCTCTACTACATATGCTTCCTGCTACTCACATGTTGAAATTGAAACCTCTTTTCTTTCTCCCTTGCTCTTTCTAACCTCTCCCATTTTATCTGAAGATTATCTTATAATTTAGCTTCTTGTTTTTGGGTTTCAGGACCAATTATTAATGCAATTACAGGAGACAGAATTGCATAAGCGAGTCAGCAAATGGATGGATTCTATGAATTCTGATAGCGGATTTGTGACAAGTTTTGGCAATCAGCATGTTTTGCTTGAGATTGCAGCAAATGTGGCTTCGGATGGGGTCAAGCATTCAACATTGAACCCTGGTTCTTCTGGTCGATTACACTCTACAGATTTAACGGGTTCTTCAAAAGGCAATTATGATAATGTCTCTATTGAAATGAGTGAGCCAGTTACCTGCAGCAGGGAGCAAGGGCCTGGTAAAATGATCCAAACTATTGATCCAAGTCCAAGTGGCTGCAGTGTAAACAATGGCCATTTAATTGGCAATGATGCTCTAACGATGTTGTTGTTGGCCCTACCCTCTCATATGTGGTCTGGAATTAAGGAACCAAACCTATCTGCAGAGTTTAACAGCCTTGTATCAATTGGGAGTGTTCCTCACATACTCAAGAAAGAGGTAACAGTTCTTCCTTTTCTTGTTTCTTACTTTCTTTGATATTATATCTCGCTTGCATTAATTGGTTCCTTACTGTGTTCTATTATGTCTATGCTGGAATAACAAAGAATCTCCAACATTGTAGGGTTGCTTGAATATTCAAATATTTGCAAATGATGTCCAGTATTTCCAACATACATCCTCGATCTGATCCTTTAACTAGGAAGAATGGATACAGATACGATATGAATGCGGTGATACGACAAAATTTTAAAAAATAGGATTTGGATACGGCTAGGATATGTTTATAAAAAAAATATTTTAAAAAAATTATTAGTAGTTAGTTATGCATGAGCTCAAGAATGTTGAGAAATCATACTGTAATTAAATAATACAAAATACTAATCTTTAATAATTAGATATTAATTTAAGTTGGTAGCTAGTTTACTTCTTTTAACTTTTAATAGGTCTTACAAATATTTCATTTCAATATCAAGTCTAGTATGTTTTTATTACAATAATAGAATAATGATATTTAATTTTTATTTTATTTTCTAATTGACGTGCATGGCACAATAAGAATAAGTCAATTTGACAAATTAAATTACTTTACTTCACTATGTTCTTCTTATCAAAGAACTAAGCAAAGTATTAATTATTATTATTATTTTTTTTTGTATTTATCCTCACATTTATAATATATTATAATGCTATGCAATAAATACTACAATTCTAATTTAGTGAAAGTAATACAGGACTTGGAGCATCCGATTCTTCAAAATTAATTAAAAAGTGTCCGATACTTTTAGTAAGTATCCAATACATATCTGTGAATATCTAAGGAGTATCGGTATTTGATACGGATACATTGCCTTTTTACAAGTATATGTGCTTCATAGTCCTTTAACCTTGTTGATTCTTGTGTTCCTTAGTCTCCTCTTATGCTATCATTCAATTGAAAATTGAAACCTGATTCAATGGTCTATTATTGTGTCTCTAGATCTTTTTAATTTTTTTTGATTTAATGAGTTCGTTGGCTTGAGAATGCATGGTTAATATTCTATGTGATCTTTGGTGTGGTGTTGTATTTGGTGGCCGAATCTGGTGCATTTTCAGCATGATGAAAGACTTCATTGAAAAAAGAGAAAAAATGACCAAACTAGCAAGGAAGAAGAAGCCTGTCCTTTGCAGATGACTCTGTAGAACTAGTAGTATATGCTTTTATAATTATAATATAATGTTATGTAAAAATGCATAGAAACATGTTGTAATAGATGATATAAGTTTCTTGTTTCGCTCAATGAATTGCTTCTCTTGAGACTTGAAGGTGAGTTTTGCTCTCTCAAATTCTTAAGAGGTAGAAATTAGTTGAGTTCCTTATTTTAGGACTGCTATAATTACTATGCCTTTACTTCTTGGACCTCATATTGATACTGATTACTAACTGAAGCCCACTCACATTTTGCACCTTAGCTGTGCTTGTGATTTTTATTTAGGTAAATTGCATAAACACTCCCTGAGGTTTCTAACAAATACCGGGACACCCTACAGTTTTCTGAAATTACTAGAAAATCCCTGTCAGAAACTAAGGGTTGGCAGATGTTACAACGTGCTTGATTTTACTTGTTTACCCTTGTACCAAAAATGATTATTTCAGTATTAATGTTAGCATTATGCCAAAATAAAGGGTTATCTTGTGATCTGCTCTCCTCCAACTCTACCATGAATGGATACTTATGTCTGCAGAACAATTCAAGAGTATTATTAGCATTACACAATTTTTGCTGATGTCAGCATCTTTCCTAATGATTGAGCAACCAAGGGGTTGTTTTTGCATATTATTAGTTGAAGTATTAGGTGTTTCTCAATTTTCAAAAAATTCAGGGGTGTCGATTTACTCAAGGTGGCAACCCTTTCCTAACAATTCAAGGTTTTGGGACTAGGGGTGATCAAACAGAGATGATGTGCTTCTTTTTATTTATTTATTTTTTTTAACGAAGGTGATGTGCTTCTTTGTACTTGATTTTCTACAATTTTCATATGATGTACTTTTTCATACATGGAAATCCTTATATTATTGTTATCTAACCAAATGTCATTCAAACGTATCATTAGTGGCAAATTTAATTGTGTTAGTGTTCTACATATTAAGTGATTTTTATGCAATTTGATAAGGGTGTACTTGGTTCAGTTTGTTCCAGTTCTGAGGTAAATTAAAAACAGAACCGATTTCAACAGTTTCAAAAATTTAGGGAACCAAACCAAATCATGTAAATTATGGAATAGAACCAAACCAACCAACCCTGTGGAAAGCGGTTTGGTTTTGATTGATAACGATGATTCCAATCCTAAGAGCGTTCCACAAATTATATGTTAAAAACTTGCCTTAATATTTTCTCTCAAATTTCTTTTGTTTTTTTTTTTTTTACCTCCTTTCGTTTATCTTGTTTTTCTTATTTATTTTTTATAATCTTTCGTTTTATATTATGCTCTACTAATCATCACTCACAGTTCTAAAAACACTCTTTATCTATGTAAACATATATTAATCTTTCTAATCTTTATTATTTGGAGATTGTTGTTAGTTGCTATCTGATGATGTTAAATGATGCTGATTTAGAGTTCTAATTTCTGTTCATGGCGAACACAGGTGCTGAGCTTGCGTCAACAGCTCGAGTTTCTTATGATGGATATTGGTTCAAATGCTGTGCATAAGGGGCTAACTACAATATCAGACTCAAGTACACTGAAAGAGCCATGGTTCAAGAAGTTTACTATGTATGAATGATTTATACTTTAAATTTAAAATTAAGTTATTACTATTTTAGGTTGGAAATTGGTATAATGTTGTATGTATATATATATATATGCATTTTTTATTTTATTTTTGGATGATATAAACCTGGTATATATAATTTATCTAATATACTAGGTTTATCATAGTGGGATTTTGCTAGGGCTACATTATTTAATAGTATTTTTGTAGAGGGTATTTTTGTCATTTCAATGGCAATATTAACACCATTGTGTACCAATTTGGATGCCCGTGTAATTACAGAAATTACAGGAGAGGTTTGTATAATTATCAAATATCTTAGAGAGGTCTGTGTAATTAGCCTTATAAATAAATAAAATAGAATTTTATTTTTGTAATATGTTGATAAATAAATTTAAAACCCAAGTAACAATTATTATTTTATATATTATTTTCTATGTTGATCATGGGATTAAGAATGGAGTTTTAAGATGGGTTTGGCTTCTTTCATGTTGATTATAGGTTCTGTTTCGATAATTTGAGCCGTTTACTTTTTAGTACTTGTTGAGTAGAATATTAGTATAAACAATTAAGATGATTGGGAACAGAACCTATGGTGGGCTATACGAATCCCTTGAGTTCTTTCATATTGAGATACCAACATGAGAGAAGCCCAACCGTAAAACAAATATAATTCAAATATATAGTTAGCGATGTCCAATCATCCTGATTTTTTTACATGAATATTCTTCTCAATGAATCCAAAAAAAAACCAATGGTTCAGATTATCGGAATTGATTCCAAAATGGACCTACTAAGTACGAACACTCTTAAATTGAGATGACAACCTGAGGAAAACCAAACTCTTTTAAAATATAATCAAAGGTATCTTAGGAATACAAAATTACACTTGACATGAAGAAAAACAAATGCTTCATTATACTAACTCCATTATGTTAATGGGTGTACTGTGAAATTTAAAATATAAATTTTGATTTTGATTTTGATTTAAAAATATAAATATTGTCTATTGTTCAAATGATAAGGGTTACTTCGGTCTTAGTTTCGAGTATGTTGCATTTTGAGTTTCATAGATATGTAACTAGGTATAGTTGAAGCATTTCTCAACTATGAGTGTAGGGCACAAGAAATCGAGATTGGGTGCTCTAGTTTGCTGGGTCGTCTATGGAGAGGATGAGGGGTCAGGTATGTTGGTGATATGTAAGAAATTGAAAAATGCGCCAATTCGAATTCGAAAAGGATGGTGCATGACGGCTGAGTTGGGCGTGTGGGGCCAACAGGGAAATGCCACATGTCTTCGATAAGACTTATGGCAGACATGGAGAAGAGCAAAGTAGATGAAAGGAAAATGACCGAGCAAGATATGCAACCAAACAGGTAAGCCCGACCTAGAAATAATTCCAGTCACTCAAACGCAAGTGACAAAAGAACAAGAATTGAGCAAGATGTGCACCCGAGCAAGAAAATTAGCTCAGCCAGAGAATGTAATCCCAGTCACGCTAGCGCAGACGGAATTAAGGGGCAATTGAGAAGGGAATTTACTTCGGCTTGGTGGGCTAAGCAAGTTTGGGCCATGGCCGAGGAAGTTTGGGCCTTGGGTTGATATTCTAGCCCGAGTAAAGCGAGACCTCGCATTGGACCGAGATGTTAGCGCGGTGGGATTAAAGGTACTCACCCAACTGAGGTGCTAGCCTGGTCTAACCAAGAATTCAAAGCTAGATGGGTTCACTCGTGGACTAGGCAGAGCCGAGCAAAAGGCTGACCAAAGTCAGCAAGCTCGATAAAATCAATCTACAGTTATGTCTTCTAGGACCAAGCAGAAGGCATGATTCTAGAGATGGGTACAATGCCGAGTTAAAGATAGCTCGACGGAAGTTGCTACGTGCCCAATTGGAAGGTGAGATGGAGATTCCACCATCCGTACGTGTCAATACTGTTAGGCAGTTTTGCCATTAGTGTTTGGTAGTATTTGTCTCCATACGTAGAGGGAGACAAGAGGGCAGTACATCTACGCATCTTGGTAAGGACAAGCAGGGTGGTGTGCGCAGAAACTATATAAGCGGTGCGGCGCCTCCATGCATAGGTTTGGAATTCTTGTTATCAGAGCTACCTGCATTTTGTCTCCTCTCTCTTTCTTCTTCTCCCAAGTGTGCTAACTTGATCGTCGGATGGGTTTTCCGGTTGCACATCCATCGGGTAGCTCATCGTCGTTTTGTTCTCAGGTCGGACGATTCAGTTTGAAGCTATATAAAGCTTGGACCCAAAGAGTACAAAGGGTAACGAATATTTTCCACTCGTACAGTGGCGGTGGATGAGATGTCATGGGTTGGAATGGCTATATATCTTGTGAGATTGGAAGAATATGGTGGTTGGTGGTGGTTCTAGTGGTGACTAGATGAAAAAAATGGAATTACGGTTGTGGTTTGGGGTTGTAGGGGTGGGTGTTTGCACTTGACATAAAGAAAAACAAATGGTTCATGATACCAACTCTAGTAAGATTGAGACACAGACAGAGGGGGGTTGGGATTGAAGATGAGAGGTTATAGTAAGAGAAGTGTTTTCTTTTGGATTTTTGATAGTATTTTTATAGAGGGTATTTTTGTCATTGCAATGGCAATGTTAACACTATTGAATGCAATTTGGAGGCCCATGTAATTACAAAAATTACAGGAGAGGTTTGTGTAATTATCAAATACCTCAGAGAGGTCTATGTAATTAGCCCTATAAATAAATAAAATAGAATTTTATTTTTGTAATATGTTGATAAATAAATTTAAAATCCAAGTAACAGTTATTATTTTATATATTAATTTCCATGTTAATTATGGGATTATGGATGGAGTTTGGAGATGGGTTTGGCTTCTTTCATGTTGATCATAGGTTCTGTTTCGATAATCTGAATCGTTCACTTTTTAGTACTCATTGAGTAGAATATTAATATAAAAAATTAAGATGGATCCCTCAAATTCTTTCATGTTAAGATACCAACATGAGAGAAGTCCAACTCTAAAACAAATATGATTCAAATATATAGCTAGTGATGTCCAATCATCCTGATTTTTTACATAAATATTCTACTCAATGAGTCCAAAAAAAGTAAACGATTCGAATTATCGAAATTGATTTCAAAATTGGCCTACTAAGTATAACTGTGGGAGAGTATTTTGTGAATGATAGCACGTGGCTAAGGTGACATCGGAGTGTTAGTCGAGGTGCCACGTGGCCTGGTCACGTTGCTGAGGTGATCTCGATGCCGAGGTGATCTCGACTAGGTCGGGGTTATCTGCGGAGATACCGGAATTCGAGATAAGCAGATAAGGGACGAGAGTCCTAAAACATGGGAGGGTCTTAGTCTGGATAGCGATAAGGCTTAAGAAGAGTTTATCTCTATCTAGTTAAGGGTCTAGGATGAGCATGAAGCATGAGTCCTATGGAGTGAGGCTTCTAGCGGAACTAGGTCACTGCTGGTTATAAAAGCAGGGCACCCTCGTGGGTCTAAGGTAAGTTCTTTCTCGTGAGATTAAGCATAATTTGCTATCTTTGAGAGATATTTGATTACTGACTTGATCATCGAAGTGCCTACGGGTGGACGAACCACCGCCGGATTTTTATTTTTCTGTGACAGGTTGTTTGGGCTTAATCTATTTTGCCGATACTCTCCAGCTGAGTTCCCCATTTGGTTGTGTGGTCGAAAATCAACACCCACAATAACCACTCTCTCAAATTGAGATGATAATTTGAGGAAAACCAAACTCTTTTAAAATATTATTAAAGGTATCTTAGGAATACAAAATTACACTTGACATGAAGAAAAACAAATGCTTCATTATGCTAACTCCATTATGTTAATGGGTGTACTGTTAAATTTAAAAAATATAAATTTTAATTTTAATTTAAAAATTTACATATTGTCTATTCCTCAAATGATAAGGGTTACTTCGGTCTTAGTTTCGAGTATGTTACAATTTGTGTTTCATAGATATAAAACTAGATATAGTTGAAGCATTTCTCAGCTATTTCTTTCGACAAAACAATGATTGTGTATATACATATATTATTAATTTAAGCCTTTAAAGTATATATTAAGATAGTTTTAAAAAAATTATATATATATATATATATATTTTATTACACGCATTTTAATATTGGATGATAAATCTGTTTATGTTAAAAAAAAAAAACTTATTTTGATAATTCAAATAAAAAAGACATAAGTATTTAATTGGTTTTAACTTAAGATAGTGTTAATGAGTGTCTAAAGAAAATTAACGAGTAAAACATATTTTATTAACACAAACTTTTATAGCCATATATATTAATTTTATATTTATTAACAAATACCCATAACTCATTACCAAAATTCATGATTTTATTAATAAATAGGTAATATATTTAGATTTTTTTTTTAATTATAAATCCCTATTAATATTTGTCTTGAAGAATAAAGACAATAAAATAAATAAATAATACTTTAGTCTAAGTCATTTATCCTTAGGGAGTTAACTTCTCTCTATTTCCATGTTCTCCTCCTCCCTATGAATTAATTTTAATTTAAAAATTTACATATTGTCTATTCCTCAAATGATAAGGGTTACTTCGGTCTTAGTTGCGAGTATGTTACAATTTGTGTTTCATAGATATAAAACTAGATATAGTTGAAGCATTTCTCAGCTATTTCTTTCGACAAAACAATGATTGTGTATATACATATATTATTAATTTAAGCCTTTAAAGTATATATTAAGATAGTTTTAAAAAAATTATATATATATATATATATTATTACACGCATTTTCATATTGGATGATAAATCTTTTTATGTTAAAAAAAAAAAAACTTATTTTGATAATTCAAATAAAAAAGACATAAGTATTTAATTGGTTTTAACTTAAGATAGTGTTAATGAGTGTCTAAAGAAAATTAACTAGTAAAACATATTTTATTAACACAAACTTTTATAGCCATATATATTAATTTTATATTTATTAACAAATACCCATAACTCATTACCAAAATTCATGATTTTATTAA